TTCGTGGAGACTTGACAAATATTGTGGGATTATTCTTAGATTTTGTGGAAATTTTTGGAGATTTTGTGGGATTTTTCTGGGATTTGGTAGGGTTTTGAGAATATTTCTGCAATTTGGTGGCATTTTTTTCCAGAATTTTATGGGATTTTGTGGAGACTTGAAAAATTTTGACGGATTTTTCTTGATTTTGTGGAATTTTTAGAGATCTGGTGGGATGTTTCTGGAATATGGTAGGGTTTTGAGAAGATTTAGGGAATTTTGTGGGATGTTTATGGAATTTTGTGGGATTCTTGTGGAATTTTGTGGGATTTTGTGGAAACGTGTAGGAGTCTAGAAATGCAGGGACATTTCTCTGTCTATTCAATTATTTAAAGAATATATGAATCATATATAATATTGGCAGAAAGGCTTCCAAATATCCCTGAGCAAGCCAGATTTTGTTAGAACTATAATAGAAAGTAGAAAAATGTTTCTTTTAACACTGAGGTGAAAATATAGATTTTTAGAGGGTTTCACACGTGGAGTAAAGATGAAGGAAAAAAGGTGTAGTTTTTAATCCTTCTTCTTCCTTCTTTTCCATGCTTCTGCAGTTTTTAGAAGCACAAAGAATGATCGGTTTAGAGTTAGTCGCACTTTTAATTACATGAGTAGATCTAGAAAACCTATTTGTTGAGATATAATAACAATACACGTGTCTGTAGTTAATAGGGTAAAAATTGGTATAAAGGTGAAAAGACCGCGTGGTTCGGGGCCATTTTGTATCATTAGAACGAGATGAGCCAGGCTGTGGTGATTTAAGCTTGTGCAGCTCGTCTGGACAGACCTGCCAGGTTTTTGTAAGGATCCTTCAATAAACACCAGAAACCAGAATCTAATGAGCCCGGGAGTTTTCTTCGAATGTTAAGGACTGAGATAAGTGGGACTCCCCACGAGGGAGGATTCCAGAGGAATTCAGCCCAAAGGAGGCTGAGAGACTAGAGAAAAGTTATATCCACAGGGTATTCAGCACAAAGGAAGCTGAGAGACTAGAGAAAAGTTATATCCACAAAAAATTCAGCCCAAAAGAAGCAAAAAGAGAAAAGTTACACCAATCCCCATCCCACCCATCCTGCCCCACCCAATGCCCATCTCACCCCTCCTGATTTCCATCCCACTTCACCAAATCCACTTCCAACCCCTTTCCACCTGATGCCTTCAGAAGGCTGACCTAGAACAGAGGCTGGATAGAGTTAAGAATAAAGTTTATTAAAAGGCCTTAAAGGATACACCTTGGGCAGTACAAGAGCCTGGCCAGAGCTACATCCAAGATGGACCAAAAATGGTCACAAAAATGGACAACTCATCACGAGGTCTCACATTTTTAGAAGTTTAGGTCCATCTGGATATTGGGGCTCATTGTGCAGTGACAGCTTCAGATGATGAAGTCCCATCCTTCTTGTTTTCTCTCTTCAGTCCACCCTTGTTCATGCTTTTGGGCCTGGAACTTGTAACAATTGTCCTTGGTATCAAGCTAGAAAAGGAATTGTTTTGTCTACCTACTCTGTGAAGAGAGCTCACTAACACTTAATAGGAAGTTCAAAGCTACAAACCTAGGCAGTGCAGAATATGAAAAATAGGAAAGCTAAAACTTAAGGCATCACATGCTGAGGGGCTGTGGAATGCAGTAATTTTGGTGTGGGATTGAGTAGATTTCAATGGCACTGAGTGGTTTCAAGGTGATAGATCGAACTCTCTCATCTCCTTGAGTGCCAAGAAATGGAGACAACTACACCAAATGCCTCCAAAACCCTCCCATGTACATCCCTTGTCGCCCTGAAAACTCAGCTTCAGAGCTTGTTGACATAGTTTCTAAAGAATTTTCCCAGGATAGAAACTATAAACATAGATACTTGTGCATTCCTTCTGTTAGACGTCTCTTGATGGACATGTCTTACGGCCAGTGTGGTTAGAAAGGGGCTATCCTGACTACCCAATCCCTGGCCATGGTCAGAAAGCTATAAATTGTGAGAGAAGAAATAAAGTTCACTTCTTCTTCATCGTCTCTTGAGCTGTGTCCGTGTGACTTATTTCGTGTCCAACAGCGACGCTCCCTGAATCCCAGATTCCCCTGAAGCACCGGTAAATGTGAGGTTTTAGATGCCTTTGATGAATTTGTAGACTTTTATTCCAAATTTATCTGTTTTAAAGGGATGAAGATGAATCAAAAGATAGAACCAAAATAAAATGACCACCAGCCCAGTGTCTTCCCAACACAGATCACTGGGAACGTGGGTCATCAGGGCTCTGCCCAATGCGCATCCTCTGGTGGGGGATGGAGCTGGGGCAGTGCACAAAGCTCTTCTTGCACTTGGGGCACTCACAGGGCTTCCCTTAGTGGTGCCTCTGTTGGTGTCTGGTCAAGGTAGAGCTCCTGGAGAAGCTCTTCCCACACTGGGGACACTCATAGGGCCTCTCCCCAGTGTGGATGCGCCGGTGCCTGACAAGGGTGGAGTTGTACTTGAAGCCCTTCCTGCAGTCAGGGCAGCGGAAGGGCCTCTCATCCGTGTGAATCCGCTGGTGCACGAGGAGAGTGGAGCTGGTCTGAAACCTCTTCCTGCACTCAGGACACTCATAGGGCCTCTCCCCAGTGTGGATCAGCTGGGACCTCCGACTGAAGGTCATCCCACATTCCTCACACTCATAGAGACGTTCCCCAGTGTGGGTCCTCTGGTGGATGGTCAAGTTAGAGCTGTTTCTGAAGCTCTTCCCACACTGGGGACACTCGTAGGGCCTCTCTCCAGTATGAATGCGTTTGTGGGTACTAAGGCTGGAGCTTTGGCTGAACCCCTTCCCACATTCCTCACACTCATAGGGCCTCTCCCCAGTGTGGATGCGCCGGTGGGTGATGAGGGTGGAGTTGTACTTGAAGCCCTCCCCACAGTCAGGGCAGCGGAAGGGCCTCTCATCCGTGTGAATCCGCTGGTGCAGGAGGAGAGTGGAGCTCCTCTGAAATCTCTTCCCACACTCAGAACACTCATAGGGCCTCTCCCCAGTGTGGATGCGCTGGTGGATGATGAGTTGGGAGCTGCAGCTGAAGCCCTTCCCACATTCCCCACACTCGTAGGGCCATTCCCCAGTGTGGATCATCTGGTGGCGGATCAGGGTTTTCCTCTGTCTGAAGCTCTTCCCACACTCCAAGCACTTGTAGGGCTTCTCCCCATCCTGAAGCTGCTCATGGACCACAAGCTCAGAGCCCTGGCTGGATCTCCGGCCGCCTTCCCTGCACAGGGTGGGTCTCTCCTCCTCAGAGCACCCTGGGATGGGTTTGGAGCCCCTCCTCCTGTGGGATCTCCATGGCTTTTCCTCCCTGTTGGATTCCTGTGCCATGGAGCTGCTCAAAACAACCTCTTCCATGAGGTTCTGCCGTGGGGATTTGTCCTCCCTGGTCTCCATCCTCAGCTCCTTGTCTGGGGGAGGAAGGACAAGGAGAGGATGGGATTTGCCTCCGTGCCAGAGGGAAGGGGAAGGAGATCCCCCCAGTGCGTCCCCGGCAGGACGGCGTCGGCAGCGGGGTTGTCCTGCAGCCGGGGGCCAGGCTGGGCTGGGAGATGGAGCAGGAGAGAGGGGGAAAGGGGCACTGACTTCCTCCTCACCTGCCTGGGTGTCCTGGGGCATCTTCCTCTTCCTCACAGCCTCTTTCTCCATCCAGACAAGGTTTGGGAATGGGAGATCCTGGTTTGGGGAAAAACACAACACATGAGCACACTGAATTAGGGGCTTTCCTCTCTCCAAGTCCACCTTTAGAAGTCACTGGGCAACTGGTGCCCATATAAATCCCCCAAACACCAAGTTTCAGTCCTGAAAATGTCTCCCAGGAGTTCCCCAACTCTGGTCTCTCCCCTTTGGTGTTCAGGGGTTCCTCCCTGTCCCAGCTGCTGGGGGTCACGCTTGTACAAGAGGTCCCCCAGTCTGCTCGGTCCCTGCTCTCCCCAGGCTGCTGGGAGTGCCAGGAATCTGAAAAGTTCCTCCTGTTCCCATCTCCCCACTTAGGGATGCTGGGACCCCCTGAAGTGCCCCCAAGAGGCATTTTCCACTCAGCTTTGGAGTTCTTCATTCTCCAAACATCTTCCAGGAAAAAACCCAACCCAGGGACCCCCCACGATATCTGGGCTGAGCTCCCCCTCCCCAGGCACCTGTGGGATGGGGGTGATGATCTCACAGGTGGGGGCTGTGAATTCACGGAGTGCTGGAACCTCGTGGTTCCTTCTCCTTTCCCTGATACTCCTTTGTCCCTCCTCTTCCTCCCGTTCCTCCTCCCTATCCCAACCTTCTCCTACTTCCATTTCTTCTCGCTCTCCTTCTTCATCCCTCCTCTTCCATCCCTCCTCCTCCTCCCCCAGGAGCAGTGACACCCTCGGTGCCCCGTTCCCAAACCCCTCACAGCCCACGGCAGGAGCGGGGATGGAGCCGGGACAGGTCGGGATGGGCAGCGCGGGGCTCTCCGCTGCTCCCACCCGCTGGGGACGGGGGGAACCCGGCCCGGGGAAAAGGAGAGGGAAACTGGGAAAATTGGGGGCTGCAGATCCAACCTGGGGCTGGCTGGGGACCCTGGCTGGGGACTGCCAGCCCTTGGGGCTCCTCTGGGGAGATGTGGGAGGGGGGAACACAGAGAGGGCTGGGGGATCCCAGGAGTGGCAGCACTGGCAGGGACTGGTTTGGACTGGGATCATCCTGTGATCACACTGGCAATGACTGGAACTGTATTGGATGTGTACTGACATCTGTATGATGTCACAACTTTATGATGTGTACTGACATCATACTGGGATCATACTGGGAGCAGCTGGGTCCATGCTGGCTGAGACTGGGATCCCACTGAGGGTGACTGGAATCATACTGGGATTGACTGGGAGTGGCTGGGAACAACTGGGATCATGCTGAGAGCAACTGGGAGGAGCTGGGAATGACTGGGAGCGTGCTGGGGCTGACTGGGATATACTGGGAGAGACAGGGAGTCCCAGGGATCACACTGGAGGCTACTGGGGTCACACTGGCACTGCCAGGGAGCAACTGGGGGCCACTGGCCTCATCCTGGGAGTGACTGGGATTAGACTGGGAGTGACTGGGATCAGACTGGGAGTGACTGGGATCAGACTGGGTGTTACTGGGATTAGATTGTGACTGGGATGAGACTGGGAGTGTGAAGGAAACTGGAAAATTGGGGAAAAAATGGAAAAAAGCCCAGGATAAATTCAAGGAAAATGGAAGGGAAAATTCGGGGAAAACCCAAAAATATCAGGGTGAAATCCAAAAAAATCAGGGAAAAATCAGGAAAAAATTGGGAAAAATTTGGGAAAAACAGGGGAAAATCTGACAAAAAATTGGGGAAAACCAGGAAAAGTTTGGGGGAAAAAAAGAGCAAACTTAAGGAAAAAAATGTAAAAAAATTGGGGAAAAATCAGGAAAAGACAGTGGAAAAAATCTGTGAAAAATCAGGAAAAGTCAGAAAAAATGGGGAAAAAATCAGAAAAAATAGGAAAAGAAGGAAAAGTCATGAAAAACCAGGGAAAATTGGAAAGAATATTTGGGAAATCAGGAAAAAAACTGGGAAAGAACTTGGAAAAATTGGGGAAAATACAGAAAAGAAAGAGGAATAAATCTGAAAAGTAATAGGAAAAAAACCAGGAAAAATCAGGTAAAAACTAGGGAAATTTGAGAAGAAATTGGGAAAAAGCCAGAAAAAATTTGGGAAAGGAAGAGAGAAGAATCAGGAAAAAATGGGAAATACATGAAAAAAATTGTGAAAAATTGTGAGAAATCAGGGAAAATATCAGGAAAAAAAAAACCAAAAAGACCCTGGGAAAAATCAGGAAAAATCAGGAAAAATTGGGAAAATATTGGAAAAATGAAGGAAAAACCAGAAATATTTGAGAAAAAATTGCAAAAAAATCTGGAAAATAATTGGGAAAAAATCAGAAAAAAAATGTGGAAAAAAAAAGAGAATCAGCGGAAAATCAGGGAAACAAACAGGAAAAGGATAAAAAAATCTGGGAAAATCAGAAAAAAAAAATAATGAAAAAAATCAGGAAAGAATTGGGGAAAACCAGAAAGATTAGGGAAAGGAAAAGGGAAAAATCAGGGAAAAAAATGGGATTAAAACAGGAAAAAGCACAAAAATCAAGAAAAAGTTTAAGGAAAAAATGGGAAAAAAATGAAAAAAAAATCAGAAAAATAAAAAAATGTGGAAAAAAAATCATAAAAAAAAATATATAAAAAATCTGGAAAAATCTGGAAAAAATGGGGAAAATCTGGAAAAATATTAAGCAAATATTGGGTAAAATCTAGAAAAGAGAGGGAAGAAACCTGGAAAAAATCAGGAAAAATCAGTAAAAAAATTAGGAAATACAGGGAAAAATCAGGGACAAATTGTGAAAAAAATGGGGAATAACCAGGAAGAAATTGCAAAAAGAAGAGGGAAAATCAGGAAAAAGTGGGGGAAAATCAAGAAAAAAATTTAGGAAAAAATTTGGGAAAAAACAGGGAAAAATCAGGAAAAGAAAGAGGAAGAAGACTGGGAAAAAAATGGGAAAAATCAAAGAAAAAAAAAAAGAGTACAAGAAAGTGGGGAAAAAAACTTTGTAAAATTGGGAAAAAAATTGGGAAAAAAAATAGGAAATATCAAGGAAACAAACATGAAAAAATCAGGAAAAATTAGGAAAAAAGGGAAATATTTGGACAAATCAGAGGGAAAAATCAGGAAAAAAAATTGGAAAATATGTGAAAAAAATTGTGAAAAAAATTGTGACAAATGAGGAAAAATAAGAAAAAGGGAATAAAACCTGGAAAAAAATCAGAGAAAAAAATCAGAAAAAAAATGAAAAAAATTGGGGGAAAATCAGGGAAAAAAATGGGAAAAACAAGGGGAAAAAATTGGGAAAAAATGGGAAAAAACAGAAAAATTATGGAAAAATTAGAGAAAAAGTTGGGGAAAAGACAAAAAATTTTGAGAAGAGGGAAAAATCAGGAAAAACAAAAAAATCAGGAAAAAAATGGCGAAAAAACTGGGAAAAATTCAGGGAAAAATAAGGGAAAAATAAGAAAAAAAAAGAAAAAAATTAAAAAGAGAGAAAAAGATTGGGGAAAATCAGGAAAAAAACAGGATAAAATCCCCCTATCCCATTTTTCCATGGAATTTTGGGAATTGCCTACCTGGGAGGTTGCAGAAGAATTTCCAGACCTGGGAATCCAGGGAGTAGGGAAAGGTGGAATTGCAGATG